AAAGATGATTGGCCGTGTACGAAGAAAAGTTCGAGCAATGGCCTATGGTAAGAAGGAAGACTGAATAATGGTCGTACTATAAGAATAATACCTACTAATGTATAGCTGTTACATTGAACTATGAAAAATAAAACGCATTTTTAACCCCAACAAGATTTTCGTGTCAGAATTTTTTCGTGTTCAACCTTTAATCTTCTTTTACAAGATAGTATATTGAATCAATTTCATTATACAGATAAGCATAAGGGGGTCATGTAATAATTACTTTAACACTTTTTTGGAAGTTTCAAACCCTCCTCTCCCATTGTAAGATTTTTTTTAATATTTATAAATACCCTTTATTTCCCCCTTAGTAAAGGATGTTACGATTAAAATTTGGTCAACTTAAACATGACGCATTTCTTATAATCGAGCATTTAAAAACCCTGAACATTTTGTAGGTGTGTGCGTGCAAAATGATGCTTTTTTTTATTTCGACAGTTGCTCTTCAGTAGTGTTGGAAAAGTTCGCGATATTTAACGAAGTTCACCATGGGAAAAGTTCGCGAGTTATAGTGAGTTATCACGAACTTTTCCATCACTGCTCTTCAGTTATCAAAATGTCGTCCAAGCAAGAGGAGCAACCCATCAAACAGCTTCATGGGCAGGAGTTTCATACGGCAACCCGAAAGGGAAAGGTGGCAGACATTTTCAAACATATGAAACTATCAAAGTTCACTAAGAAATATCTGGTTTGCCAGGCTATCGAGTGAACGTGTGTCTGGAAAAACGTCTGTTGCCAATCCTGAAGCAACACGATTGTTCCGTGCGGTTTTGGCCGAATTTGGCATACTGCCATTATGGAAAAAAGGCCATGGAGTGGTATGCCGCCAACAGGCAAACTGGCGAACAAAGTGTACGATGTGGCCTGTATAGAATCTTATGGCAGGAGTTAAACGAAAGGCCTGGAAATTCGGATTCGTTCAACAGCTGAATATTTTTTTTCTGAATTTTATACTAATTGAACTTAAGGGGGGAGGGGGGGGGGTACAAGTAACACGTCAAAAACTCGACGATTTTCGGATTTTTTTTTGTGAGCAAATAAAACAACGCAAACGTTTGGGGTTTTTTGCATTAAATTGCTTAAATCTTCCTCTACATTTGAGATTTTTTTCATTGGTGTGTGACCTCTGTGGCTCCTTGGGGTCACATCGGAAGGAGGTCGCCTCCGGTGGGGATTGGTAATTGGCGGGCACTAGAGACCTGAATAATGGACAAAACTTACTTCTATCAATTGGACCTTATTCAGAAAAGATTTTTGTTCTATGTAAACCTCAAACAAAAAAAAAAAAAAACGGTTTAAAAATTTAGAAAAAATATATGAAAAAAAAGTTGATTTTCACTATTTTTTTTCCACTTTAGGCAGACCTGAAAATTATTTATTGTTAGTTTTTTCACGATAGTTCACATGGAGTGAAAATCTATTTCCTTTAAAATGCGCCAGGTTTCAAGTCATTAGGATGAGAACTTTTTGAGTTATCTTTCCCGCCAATTTGGAAAACACCGTTTCGAGAAAAACGCGTTTAAAGTTTTGGGTTGTGTAAAAACATGATTTCTGGAACTTACGGTTAATCGGCGATACCGGAACCATAGATCACTCCTTCCTCGTGCTCGTAGCATTTAAAAAAAAATTAAAGTAAAGTATAAAAAATCGACAAAAAAAAATTCTTGTATTTCCCACTCTAAAAAAAAAAACCAATTTGATTTTTTAAATTTGTTCATGCTGACGTAAGATATTTCTAGATTAATTGTGGAAATAAGTTACTAAATTTTGTTTCTACGAAGGTTCGTAGAGGTGTTTTCCTAAATAGTTTACCATTGGTGTTTAGAATGACACTGTCAATTATTCGTAAGGAATAGTTTTTAAAGTCTGGATTTACTTAATATTGTGGATATTTTGGATAAAAATGAACAAAATAGATCCACCGTCATAGATAATTATCTAGCACTTGAAGTCTCATGTCACTTTACGTGTGACATTGTGAATGATGGGTCCTCATTTTGACCTTAAATAATTACACAGTTAGTTAATTTTTATTTATTATATAGAAACCTTGAAATTTAAAGACTGTCCGTCTTACTCCCGCCAAATGTCCGTTTCACCTCACATATAAAAAGTTGAGAATTTTTGAGCCATTTTTGATTTTCAGAAAGTGTTATTTATTAAAATTTAACATAAACTGGTATGTGTAGTTGCTTTAAGCATAAGTTCATCCTGCAGAATGCTGATATTATCAGCAAAAATGCTGTATTTATTGACCATACAACAACAATCCTAACGGTGTCCATCTTACCCCCAGTTCCCCTACAAGTGTGAAAGGAACACTTGACAGAAACGAAGAAACGAAGAAATAATAAAATGTCTGCTTGAATTCCAAAATTGTACAAAGCGAAAATAGCCGTCGAAAATTTCAGAGTTAATCTTTCCTATTAAAATTATACGGTAATTTTTTGGGTGAAACATACCCCTATTTAGAGCTATCAGAAGGTCTAAAATGTTTCTGATTTTCAGCAGTTTGGAATAAAGTGTTTGTTGGCAAAAAACCTCAAGGGTGGATTTTCATCTAAAACTTTTGGATGTTAGATAAATAGTCAATGTCACTAAATGTTGAGTGTTTTAGATTATCGTATGTTAAATGAAAAAAAAAGAACCTGCTCTATTGAAATGTATCCAACAATTTGTTTGGTATCACCTTTCGAGTGTACCGTTTTTTCCGGGGACAGACCTTATTTTAATATGTTAGGATATGATCGATATCCAGACTGAGCATGTGTTATTTTGCATTTTAACTTTTCGAACAATAGTTGTAATTTTAGTTTCTGACAATTAATATGTTTCTGCTCAAGTGTTCTGGGAGTAATAATTAATCGATTGGCTTTTGCAATTGTTCATTTCACAACGCTGAAGTTTATTTTATATCTTAATTTTCCGTTCTGATTTAAAAAGTATTAATTACCACTTAGGAACTGCGAGAATATATACATTATTGTCAATATTTATTTCTAGCTAACTTCTGATATTTACAATGATTCAAATAGCAGCAATGAAATGTTTGCCTTGATCAGTGCACAGCTACAACCATGGCCGCGAGTAAAATCACTCTACTAATGTTGCTTAAAGGTTGAATCCTGTCAATAAAAGGTTTCCAACCCAACATCTACTAAACGGTCCTTCTCTGTATTTGGTAACGTGACTGGTTGAGTTGTTATTGATATCACCGATGTCAAAACCCTCTCGTGAATGAAAATCCTACGCAACAGAAGCGCAACTTTCGTTTAAAACAGATATCCAATAAAGCAGCCCACTATTTCTAAGAAATGATTACCACCAATGTTTGCTTCTTCTACATGGAAAACATCAAATTTCGCATTTGACTGCCTTTTTCCACTTTTATGCTACCATTTTCCCGAATCCTGCTCGCACGGTCGCCTGTCGTTGGTGATCCAGGAATGAAATTCTTTATTATTTGTGTATGTATTTCAATTAGCGTTAACAGCGTATGTGAGGGGGCATACTGAAGCAACAATAAACGGCTAGCAGGAAACGAACCGAGGGAACGTTTGATGAATAAATAATTTTCCGGCTTGTTATTTCTTCCAGGATTTCGCCCTGTACATGTGTGTAGGATCCACCAACCGATCGGATTACTACTTGTTTCCTAGTGTTTGCACTCTTCTTACGGCATTCAGGATCGTCAGGGCACATATTCGCTCCTATAAGTGACTTTTTACATCAAAATCAATGTTCAAAGATTCTCAGCGATAACAATCGGATTTACTTTTAGAAGATTTTCTCCACCACCCCTGTGCAAATACATTTTGACATCGTGGGGAATGTGATCCGTATTTGCAACCTACGCGTACATAATCATCTTGACGTGACAGGTTTCTGCAATGTTCTTCGCTTTTAGACAAGCTGATTTCCTTGGTGGCTTTCTCTATCTTACCATGCAATTCACGTTTTACGATGAAGCGGCTTCCAGTACGCACTCTCTCTAGAGTGTGAGTTATTTGCTTTTCTATACACGTTTGAAAACGTTCAATTATTCAAGACTTATCAGCATCACATGTAAAATTGTAGAACAGAAAATTTGACATTCAACTTTTGGGTCTGATTTGCTTAACTAGAACGATTTACGAACAAACCGTTGCACTGCACAGTTATTAGTGTACTTACGTGACTCATATTGGAAAATCTTGTATTTATTGAAATGTCATTTCTGTACAATTTCGGAATTTTCTACTTCTAACGGACAGACCTATCTAATAAACACGATTTATATCTAAAAGGACGAATTACCATGACCTCTGCCCGGGGTTGACTAAAATCAATCTATAGAATAATATTCTTTACCTCTAAAACTTGCTTGCTTTCATAGAAGGTGTTTGTTGGATTGGAAAGATGTTACACAAAAAAAGAGAAATCTGGGAAGACATGAAGGAAGAGGATTCTAGGGTGACTTTTATATGTGAGAGACACTGAATAAGGGAGTTGCTGTGCATTTTTTTTTTCAAAAACATAAGTCAAAGAGTGTACGTTATGCATTGAGTGGCCACGTGAGTCTAAGGCATGAGTTAGTGACTTGGAAGCCAGTGCAAATGTACAGTCTAAAGAGAAGAAAGATATCACAACTGTGTTTTCATTACTGGGCCGCTAGAACGAGACCTTAAAGCTAGTTTAGACAATATACAGAGAGATAATAAAAAATAGATAAAGTTTGAAAGAAGATTGTTAGAGTGTACAGCTATCTAAAATAAACTTGTATAGTTGAGGAAGAAGTATAACAATTGAGCTTATTCACTTAGTATATGAAAAATTTAACCACTAAATGTAATATTGAGTGACGGACACTTTCGTACATAATTGTTTCGAGTTTGACTACTAGAATTTCCATTGAAAATAGACTGTTGAACCGGACTTGCGGCACCGGAGCCACCACCGTAACTAGTCAGTTGTCTTACCATGCCGGAACCGAGCTGCTGCAGCAGACCCGATCCGGACCCGAGTGGACCGGAAGATAGTACCGTCGAGGTACGGCGGCTACGGATCGACTGCATGCTAGACGAGAGCAAAAACGGTACGCTACTTGACGTATTTGGCATCGAGCCGCCCTGTGGAAGAAAGTAAATAGAAAAGAAGAAAACACGAACGCATAGGACAAACACGAGACGTTCACAAAGACACAAACAGGAATGGAGAAAAAGAAGATAAAAAAAATGGCATTAGTTTGATTGAACTTTAAATTTAGAACCTAGTATGGGGAATGAAACGAACATTTAAAAGGTCAAGTCAGCCTGGAAGTGGTTAAATAGAAGTATTTTTCTTATATTTATGTAGTTTCCTTCTCATGATTTAAGATTGATGCAGGTATTCCATGCAAATCAGTGCAGTACCATTGCATGATTTTGAATATTTCATTGCCACGATGATAATAATCTCTGTTCATAAAAGTTGAGAAGACCCAAAACATGACCACCTGGGTAGAACAAAATATCTAAGTCATACTCAATTATGATCGTGATACCAAATAATGATGTGGAGTGGTATTACATAAGAGGTAAAATATCAAGAAATAATATCAGAAATTTACGCCGATAGTATCAGTGGGTACAGACAACCCCAAGAAACATTTTTGGTTTTATAATAGTTTTTAGACCATGATTTAGACTCAAATAATGATTTAAAGCCATCATGAAACCAACAACGTTACTTGTAAGTCTCTTTTGGCGCAGACGAAGGATTAAATTCTCATGTGATTTGATGAGTAATATGAACGATTGCGATTTTGGTCTAGTCAGGTTTTGACTTCCTCGAACATGTCTGGGTGTGACTAATGTGGGCCTGGGAACTCAATATAACCGCCAATGATCTTATGTATTAGTTCTCATGTGAATTAATGTATTTGGCCAAGTCAGAAAATTTAATCTACTCAGAACACGTCTGGGTGGGGCAATGTTGTTCTGGGCACTTCATATATGTAACTTCCATTGAACTAGGGTTTGAATTCTCATGTGATTTAAGGTGTCTTATAATAAGTTTTCGATCAAATCATAAACAGGGAGATACCTGGATCATGTCCAGATGTGACGAAGGTGGTTTCGGAAGCTTCATATAGCTACCATTGAACTTGGTTTTGAATTTTCATGCGATTTAAGATGTCACATGATGGGTTTTGGTCCAAGTCAGAAACTGGTATCTTCCTCTAGTGTACCTGTAACATCGATCGTGTGTGATCAAAATGTTCCTGGATATTCGAAATGTCTAACATTGAACATGGCTTTGAGTACTTATGTGATTTTGAGGTGTCGCATGATGTGATTTGATCCTAGTCGGAAATTGGCCACTCCCTGCTTTGAGAGGGTGTTATATTTATAGTCTGGTGGATGCAATGATGCAAGCCAATTTGACCTGTCATTTTCGGGAGCCAATCGAACGTGTATTGTAGGTATTTTAAATTGCGACGATTATTAAATCAAATGAAAATTAAAGATTGTTCTCGAAAAAATCCAACAGTCAAAAATGATCACCAAATATCATTTTAAGTTAGATATTTTTGAAACTATCAGTGCATAAATAAACACATATTAGCTATGTTTTTGCAAATTTGGTTTATTCAATCTCCTCTCCTAGGCTAAATGCCCGCACCTTGGACTTAACGCTACCCATCCAATCCTGTGCAACACTTGCGCCATCTTTCTTACATTCTTGAAGACCTTCCTTGTTTCTCGGAGCTTGCCCTTCATAATCGTCCAGAATTTTTCTATTGGGCGAAGCTCTGGAGAGTTTGGCGGATTTGGCTCCTTCGATGTCCAACTATACCAGTTATACCACTGAGGCAACACAAAAAAAGGCTTTTATCCATCAGTTTTGCATGAAGTGCCACATATGTTATCTGGCTTAGTGCAGTATTGAACTATAGAAAGATACCATCACAGACAAACAGACATAACACTCGCAAGTTGTTCATCGTACAAGCATTTAACGGACAATTTAAAAGTATCGTAGTTGGTAGTACCACCACCTGTGGCGCGCATAGTCAATTCCCTTGCGTTTGACGCTTACACACTACCGCCATCTGGTCAGCGTAGTGCCCACCATAGTGTACTCATCAGATGGCGGTAATGTTTTAGCGACGATGTTTTACAGTGAGAAATATTCAATGTGTTATGTCTGTTTGTCTGTGATACCATGGTTACATTGAACGTTTTTGAATGTTTCTGGATTCGTTCCGCTGGTTCCAGAGCAATTGCCGGAACGTAATCCGGGGAAGTGGTAAAACATTTTTATATCAAAATTCATGCGACACATCCAATCACATGAGAATTCAAAGCCATATCCATTGGCAGACTATATTGACCACATCCGGACATGTTCCGGATACTCTAGGGGAAGTGGATAGAATCTGTCTTGAGTAAAATTTCATGATGTGATATGTTGTCTAACATTCTTAATTCTATAGAAGCAATCGTAAAAACATAGCTGTGTCGTTGTTTTATAGTTTATTCTATGAAATCTTATTTTTTTTCCTAATGGAACTGTCTTGCGGCTACTTTTCGCTGTGGAATAATTTGACTTAGTATTGTTTTTCATTTACTTTAATAAAGCACACTTTTTCAATAGAATAGGTCAAAAAACATATAAAGATAAACTGAATAATGATGCAAACTTAAAATTGATAAAAATACAGATGAGACTGACTTACCGGCAGTGAACGTTCGGTTAAACTTTGACCCTCATTTCAAAAGCTGTTTCATTAAATTTTAATTTTAAAACACTATCAGTCGTGTTAAAATAATCGAGTCTTACCATCGCGGTAAAGTTTTCCTTGTTTTTAAGCTTAAACACGCTGATGAATTAAAATGCCTGATTTTTTTCCGAACTGTTTAATTTCATTTCTAAGTGTGTACACTTCTCAACATATAGTAAGTATGCATTCCTTTTACCTGGCAATAGACAGAAAGTCGCTCGATATCAGCTTGGTGTGCACAGCAGTCCACAATTGATTGTATCGCCCGGAAAATTTTCAAGTTATCCGCATACAATATCTTTTCAGAGCACAGACTACCGCATAGACCATTACCGAATAATATGAAGATGACTGAACCTAGATGACTTCCTTGTGGCACACCTGTCAGAATGACAAACTCACCGGACTTGGGGATTGAACCTTAGCTTTGCCAACTTAGCGATTGGTACGTGATATGCACTGAACAATTACAAATACAACATCAACTCTTCAATTTAGTTCAGGGAAAACTTACCCGAATGACTTGACCTTCCAAATGCATAGCTATGATTATGAAATTATGATCATCTAATTCTCATATACGCTTCTTCCGTTCAGCATATCCGAACAGCTTACAGCTAGTTTTCCAGGAACCAACTGTTGACTGTCAGTTTCATACATTACACTCATACGATGATTGTAGTTGCTGAATAAAACTCGCAACGAACAAACTTTCTGAACGAAGCATCATTCTCGAACCAACAGAAAATAAAAGTCAACTAGAACATACAATAAAATAACGAGAAAAAGATAGATATGATCGTACAACTCAAACTGCGAGCAGTAACTCATTCCACGTAGTACTAACATTTCATACAACTGTCTTCATACCACATGACAGCTTCTATTGATATCAACAGTTAGTTGATGGGTAATGGCGGGAAGCTGTGGGAAAATAATAAAACTCAAATAAACCGGGATAACTGAAGTTTTTTTTTCGTTCCCTCTCTCTCTCTCTTTTTCAAATATTTATATGAACTCATCGAAGCCTGAACAACTTTTTCATTCAAGCTATCAGGCACACGAGAATGCAACAGACAGCAAAAAACTAAGAAAACTTACTCTACACGCCTTAGTTTTCGGAATAGACGGATGGGAAAAAGGGATGAGAGTAATTGTTCACTATGCGATAGGGTTGGGGTACTATCCAGAAATGGAGGACTTTTTTCTTCTTTGCACAAGTGAGTTTATCAAGATTGGAAGAGCGGGAAGGTGAGTAGGAGCAGTTAAGGATTTCAGGTGAAAATTATGAAATTGAAGTTGCCTGAGTCTAGAGAGAGGAAAAGTTTGTCTTTTATCGGGAATAAAATGTGGAGTAAAACTGGGTACGAGGAGGGAGCGGGTGAAAAGGGCAGAGGGAGACAGAGTACTCACGATCATGCTCCGTGAAAGCTATGAAGGAGAGAAAAACTCATGTTTACGTTCATATGAAGATGAATGTCTTATTACACACTACGCGCGATAATGCTAACATACAGAATGGAAAGGTGGAAATGGTTTGGGTTTGTAGGAGGCTTGGGTTAGCTTAGCACTGAAGATGAATAAGTTGCTTTAGTTTGATGGTGAAAATAATCGTCTGAGGTGATTTGCAGAAAAACAAAAAAAAAACATAATTTAGGCAATAAAGATTATGTGTACAAAAATACTAAACAAACAAGTAAGTTTTAACATTCAACATGATTCAGCGAAACATTTTTTGTGTAATTAATGATGATGATCTTGAACATATTAATGTTTTGAATTTTGCAATTTTTTTCAGCGTTTATTTAAATTTGGTTTTTATAGTTATAATGGATTGAAAATGTTTAAATTCGTTGGTGATGAATTTTCTAGCATAGCATCTTTCAAGCATCTTTTTGTTTCTCAAAAATCATTAAACCACATACATACCAATGCACTGTGGTTCAGGATGTAGATTCATGCTGTCTTTAGTAAAGTTTTTTTTTGCATAAAAATGTCATTTATTTGGGTTCTATTTTTTATTTGTTATTTGGGTAGTCCTCAAATTAATTGATATTCCAAAACTAACTTTCATTATTGAAAAAAAAAAAAGGATTATGCACTAGGTCAAATTCGTAGCTTAGATAACTATAAGCAATTTTTTCGAAACATTATTTTACATAAGAATCATTTTTAAAGCATGTTATTTTGCACATTTTTGATGAGCAACTCAAATCGATATCTCTTAACGATCACAAAAATGATCATATTTCTTTAAAAAATAACACAATTTTTAAAATTGATTCGAAATTTCATAAATGAAAAAGACGCTTGATAAATGATAATCAAACCAATCATAAGTTTATTGTCCATTAAGATTGGATCTATGTGATAGTTGTGAAATGCGATGGGTGATCCAATCTTTTATCCTGATGCGATATTAAACATTAACAAAATATCCGAAGGTCCACATACATTTCAAAATGATAACAAATGCCAACAAGAGTATGAACAATCATCCGAATCAACAAATGAACATCATCCAACAGAAACAAACAGCAAAAATCTCGTTGAAGTACTTGAAAGTTCTCAGTGCGCAGCCAGTGAAGTGTCAAGTGGATGAAACAACAGTCTCTTATAATGTGTGTCATGCCCGAATAGGAAAACCTGTTGCATCTCATCAGTAATCAAAACTAAATTGGCAAACAGTCATCCCAGTTGCAGATGATCGAACCACACACCAATTAGACAAACGAAGCGACTGACAGCCGAGCAAACTGAATGAAACAGTAACAGTTGGATTTCGCATAGGCATCGAAAAGAAGAGAAACAAGAGTACGGAAAATTGGGAAAACAAATCTATCACAGACAAACAAAGCCCCACGCGGTTTTCGATGTCAGTCGATGCAGTTGACGTGCCCCACCACAAACGGTGGCCAGTCGTAGTGAAGATTCAATAATGGGAAAAAGGTGTACCGATTTGGGGGGTCGTCCAGTAGTTGTGTAGTGCATAACATGAAATTTGTGAAAATACAGTTTCTCCTTGCTCAATATTCGTGGCCGACCCCTGTTTATCTCTCATCAAAATTGCCAAGTCTGATGGAATTGGTTTTTCAACACCAGTTCCACGTTCTCCCCAACTGCAAAATGCATCAAGCTGTAAGGGTGGAACAACAAATACGTTACTCTACATCACAATGAAAGCGGGACGCCACAGGGACACAAGGTAGCTATGTGCGTGAATAGCTAGGCTAGAGAGATGGATGCGATGGCATTTTTCTCCTGCCTACACATGTATGTTGTCCCGTCGTCGTCGTCGTGTCAGGTCAGCATGCCGGTGCCATTCGTCAAATGCATTTTGCTGGTCGGACCTCAGTGGAGCCAATTTGCATACGTCCATGGCAGCTTTCATGTGGCTTCCTATGTCGACAGGTGCATTCCGTTAACAGGTGTGATGGAAATTGATCGGGGGAGATTTTCAGCATTGTAAAAAATAAGAATGGAAATAAAATATTGAAATAAGTTCAGCGGTGATCAATTGTGAGTAAACCGGTTGAAAAAAAAAACAAAAATCAGTGTTAGCGCAATATTGAAAATACCATATGCATTAAATGTTGACTAAACGAGTCATTTATTTATTCAGTGAAATCAGCATTTAATGTTATGATATTCATTGACCTATTTTATTTTGCATAGAAAATTTAAAAAGGGATAGTAAATGAAACCAGTGGTTAAAGATATTAGTTTTGTAAATATAGAGCTAATTAATTTTCCTTTTAATTTACTTAGAGAGCATGCATTATGTACATCACATGTAATTTAGGGAAAATCAAACCCCCTATCCCCTTCCTCATGTTTTTTAAATGAGCAGGTCCAGGTCAAATATTAAAAAAAAAATGTTTTGGATCGACTTTCTCCGATTTGTATGAAGCTTTGGGTAATTGTTGTTATTGGCAACGATATTTACCAAAATTCGGGTATTTGGATCTGGCGTCATCAATATTTTTCAAAATTGTAGCGTGGAAACGGCACTTCTGATCGAAATGACTTCTGAAACAATGTTGTAGGGGAAAATAATGATTTTCTGGGAAAAAGATTCACATTTTTTTTGTAATTTTAATTTTAAAATCCATGAAGGTGCTAGAAACCTGACTAGCTAAAAATGTCCATGACCGATTTTTGATTAAAAAAAAGCGGATGAAAAATGCGAACCTTTGGAATTATACAAACTTGGACTTTTGAAAAATAAGAAAAATCGTAGAACAAAATTTATAAATTTATAATTATTTATAATTTAATTTATGTGAAAAAAAAAACGTTTTAATATAATGTAAAAAAAATTGAGAGAAAAGATTTGTTGAACCATTGTTGTAAATTTGGTTTTGATTATTTCCAAATAAAATTCTTCGTGATCTTAAAAAAAAGGCAACATGTTTTAAATTTTTTGAAATGTATAAGTTTTAAACAATTTTAGTTTTAAATATTGACAAAAAATAAAATAATATTACAAAAAATTGTTTTGTGTTTTTTTCACCAAAAACATTATTTTTCTCAATTACTTTGTCTCAGACGTCATTTCGATCAGATGTGCCGTTTCCGTGATTAATTTTTTAGAAAAATATCAAAGTCGCCATTTTGAAAATTTGAGATGATCCAAAATGGACTAATTTTTACAAAAATGTCACACATTTGTAAACCCCCTTCCCTGCTTAAAGCGTGACGTACTTAATGGATGCTCCCTTATTACTAATAGGAATGCAGTAACGCATGATTTACTGACCCAAAAAAAAAGTTTATATTTTCAAAGGGACACCCCCAGATTTGTGTCTTTATATAGAAAACCACTCTCTGAAAGATTTAGCTCAATTAGTTGTAACACGATCTGGCGGTTATAAAGGGTGTATTCGATAAAAATGGCACAACATTAAACCGATTATCGGATATTCTTGAAATTTTCAGGGAATGTTTAATAGTCAATTTGGCGATGTTCCGGTGAATTTGGTAGGTTCATATCTTATGGCACAAAATTGACTCCGTTGGCTCGGTACCACTTCAACAAGTTTCGAGCGTAGTGGCAAGATGCTAGACCAGGCCAAAACAGAGACGCTTCTTAAGGCACTCTTCCGTGTACATCGCAACGTTGATTGTTCCAGAAGTGATGAAGGAATCGCTTATTTCACCACATCCGCAAATCACCTGCCAGATCAGGAATTTATTTGCAAATTTCGATCATTTCTTCTAATGTTGGCCTATGGATCTAAGATTAGGCCCATCGCTATATATCTGACTGAAGTGGTTTTTTTTTATACGATAGATGAGGAGGAGATGAAAGCATAGAATTGATAGTTCCGTTTAGATTATGACAGTGTGTGTTATTTGAAATAGCATCTGTAAATCGTTGACTTCACGCAGAAGTAATACTTAACATATAGTCAAAGTACATAACTCTGGATGGGAGCATACCATCAATTACTGTCATTGGATGAAAGGTACAGTAGCAGCACCTACCCCACTCGTGTCCCCTCGAGATCGTCAAGTCGAAGATGTCAGGAGCACATATCGTGGTAGGGGTAAACAATAGCTGCAATTTCCAAACCTACGACTGGATGCCTTCCTTCGAATAACAACTGAAGTGCGGTAAAATCGGTAGAACTGTTTCAAACACATCGTTGGTACTTGAGCGGTCGGCGATCATCTCTTTTTGCCAGTGGGACAACCCTCACCATCCCTCTCCAAAGGGGGAGTTTGGTAAAGAGAGATGATAAAACCGATTTGTACCTTCCTTAAAAGTTGTCCTAGCTCGCTATCTACTTTCTATATGCAATTTTCACACTGCCGTAATCTAAACGGAACTATCAATTTTATACTTTCATCTTCTCCTCATCTATCGTATAAAAATAACCACTTCAGTCTGTTATTCGAAATAGCATCTTCAACTAAGAATAAATAGCCTACTGGATCGTTTGAAGGTAATGTGATAATCATCGATGTATAGACAAAAGTGGAGCCTTTTTTCCCTCTGTTCACGACATAAAATAACTGTGACCCGTAATTGTATCTATAGTAGTAGGGGAAATGGATGTAATGTTGGCCTAAATGCCCATAATTTGGGCTAATACATAAATTCAGCAATCGACTAAATTTTCAATAACGACCAAAAATATCCATTAGTACCGTCCCAATGACGCGTTCATCTAGGTAAAATTTATAAATAGCAGAGTTTTAGCGATGGGCCAAATCTTAGATCCATAGGCCAACATAAGAGCCTTTTCCCCTATATATCCCGTGTCCTTAGTTTAGTACATGCATCACTATTGAGAAATGATGAAGCATTGGGTTTTGATATTGATGGTTCCTTAGCAACAAAATTAAGCAATGACAACGATAATGACCAGAGCCCTGGTCTAACCACTTCAAACTAGGGAACAACGAATAGAAGATTAGGAATCACATAGATGAAGACTAAGTAACTAATTTTGGACAAAGCTGAGTCTTGTCACTATCAACAAGGCATAAAAAGTAACAAGGGCTAAGATGTGTTCCTTTGATTACTGAAAAATCCTGTTTGAAGTAGTCAGGACTAGGATCTTACATCCCGTTACGTACTACGGAAAGGTGATCTACCCACGTTACAGGCCAAGTGGGGCCTTAGATAGCTTAGTCAGTAAAGGCACGGTATTTTCAGGCCGAAAGTGGTGGGTCCGGTCGAGAACATTTGTTTGGTTGAAAATTTTCTTGACTCTCCTGGACATAGAATATTATTGTGCTTGCCACACAATATATAAATTCATGCATTGGTTGGCTTAGAAACTCTCAGTTAATAACTGTTGAAGTGCATCTAGAACACTAACTTGTGGGCCGACAAAACACTGCTACATAAGCGTAAAAGCCTAGAAGAAGAAAGATGGGCAATGGTTTCAGGCAGACATGACATGACGGTTATCATATGACGATGATTATTCTTCAAAGAAGGTGATGTCAAATACCGTCAACGAGTCAATCGCTCATATGTATTTTACAGACAAGAGTTTAAATATGAAAGAACACACGGCGAATGAGAACGACCCAAATTTGAGTTTAGTTCACTCATAATCGCCAAAAGTGCAGGAACTCAGCGATGAGTAAATTTGCCTCATGTTTTCCCAGGTTTTTCCAGGATTTTCCAGCGAAAAATTCCCGAATTAGAAAAAAGTAAAGATTAGATTCACGCAGTCTATTGGTACCAGGCATGGAAAATCATTTCTAAAAAAAATTAAATTTCCAAAATAAAATCACTAACTTTTTTCTTGAAAAGCATTCCGCAAATTCATGTATGGAGCTTTTGTAGGTTTTGTTATTAGCTACAACTATTGTTAACAAGTCAAATTCTTATCTCTTATGCACGATGAACCAGAGCGAACAGAAGCCACTATTGTATTTTACATTCACTAAAAAACAGTAACAAGTTCTGTCCGCTCTAGTTCGTGGTGCATAAGAGATACAGATTTTAATTATGAGCAAAAGTTGTGGCTAACAACAAAACCTACAAAAGCTTTATGCATCATTTTGCGGAATGCTGTTGATGAAAAAAGTTAGAGGCAAATGAATGTAAATGAATGTATGAAATTAATAGAAATGATTTTCCATGCCTGATTGGTACTACTCCGAGACTGAATAAAATATTCGTCAATTTCCTCATTTTCCGGCAGATTTTTTAGGTTTTCTACAGAAAAACTATGAGACAAATTTACTCATCGCTAAGTTCCTGCACTTTTAGCGATTATGTGTGAACTAAATTCAAATTTGGGTTGTTCTCATTCGCCGTGCACGAAACATGAGAAAATAGAGATTGTTGACGTTTATCGTACGCACACTACGTCACGTATACGTATACGCAAAATGTTTTCATCAGAAAAAAACTTAATAGCGGAAAATTTTCTTGATGTAAACAAATCACTGACACAATCACACTTTAAAGTTTTTGAGTAACAGCGCGTTTATCAAGCCGAGCTTTGGATGAGGTCCTAAGTAACATTGACAGCTTCTCTTCCTAGATTTTTTCTTTGTAATCCAACGGCCATGTAACTATTTCCAGCTATTTTTAAACACAGTTTGATGAAAAATGCTTATTTCAACATTAATATAATAAAACCAGTTTAACTCAAACACCTGAGGTGCTCCTCTTTTGTTTGAGACTAGTTTCAAAATGTTGTGCGGTCGAAATGGGGGGTTGCAGCTTCAAAATCATTTGAATCACTTAAAAAATTCGAAAATAATAAAAAATGTTCCAGAAACCCTAATATAACATCAAGATACTGACCGAGCGAACGTAAGATTTCATTTGATGGATGTTGCAGCGATACTGATTTTTTTTTAACAAAGTTCAGTAACACCGTGATAAAAGTTTTAGTTTATCACTAACTTTAAGCTTGAACCATTTAGAAATAGTACACACATTTTAGAATATTACACCGATCTAAGTAGATCTCACGCTAAAGGTCACGAGTTCAAATCCTATCCTCGGGCAAGTCACTAATGATCTAAAATAAGTGACTACACTGAGGCAAATAAACTTAAGAATTCTATAGACATGACTTATGAATCTGATCAATTTTGGTTTCATAAGACACTTATGAATTCCATAAGCGCGACTTCTGAATGATTATTGCACTGCGGCTCTTATACACCTTTAGCCTATTCGATTTTTCAAGTGTTGGTAGAGATAAGCGCAAATCACGGACTCCAGTTTGCATTATTTTATACTGCATAAACATGACGTATGAATTTGATTGTATTGACTCATGATTTCCATTATAAATCCTTGCTGCGACGAGGGAATATTGAAATAGCCGTACTTTTATTTGTAAACAAAGATTCAAATGAAAATTTGTCGGAACTATTAGTACATCACAATTATGAGGAATCTTTACACTACCTGATGGTGGTGTTAGTTTGCGTGGGCGAGCTACGAGTTTCAGCATTCGATTTATTACTAACAAAAATTCAAGGAACCGTATTCGGTAGCGCAACTAGGCGCCGCAAAATTGAGTTAAAAACCCTTCCTAGATATGCTAACGATAAACGTACAGGAGTCCCGAATGTAAACTTCGATGAACTTTTATTGTGTAGTATAATTAAGCTTATGCTGAGTTCACGTTACGGTGCGTTGTGTAAGTTCAGTATTTATTAAAATTTATAATCCCCATAGCAAAAACCCATGCAAATGATCACCGCTGGGAATACATAAAACGTAATACAGCAACAAGAACAAACTATATGACACATACTTCATTACCATCCGCGTGAAAATTTTGATCTAGTCAAGCTGTGCCGGTATTGCTGATTAGTTAGTGCCAATTTACGAGGATAATTATATAACTCAAGATGACCACAAAGTAATAAACAGTGCGCTATATAAAGAAAATAACAATCATTCAGGGAGCATCAGTCCAAGAACAAGATAGCTAACAAGATCACTTTCAGGTCTGGCTCGTCATGTGAACAATACAGCAGACCACCCAAACATCGAACGATCGATTGAACCAACGAATAAATGAACGATTGTGTCACAAGGGTAGGTATTGGTATTGGTATTGGTTTTCAGGTCATACATGAGATGGAGTTCGAACACAGGCCATGCCTGTTACTAAGCACCGGAGAGAAAACTTACTACGTAAGAAGCGGAAGTGGCAGGCACTGAGAGACTCGAACCGGAGCCGCCACGAGCGCTGAAGCCCTGATGGATGGACGTGTTATTTTCGGTGGTGGGTGTGTGACGGTGGTTGTTTTTTGTTGAGTTTGATTCGACGATTGAATTCAAGTATTTCCAGGAACAAAAAGTCAGAATAGAATAAAGATTGAAAATGAATGTAAAATGTAAAAAGAGAATAATATATGTGTCCCAATAGATGGATAGACAATGCTTGTTCAATAATATCCTGATGTTCGGTATACCTCTTCTGCAATAAATCTTTTCAATATTCAAATCAATGCCATAAGCGGACTGTTTTTGTTAGTAAGATTTTAAATAAGTTTGATTTTACGATGTTGTACTTTTTCAATTGACTTTTAAATATTTAAATTTCGGGTGACTTAAATGTGTTTATGGTACTCAATGAAATGGATCGTATTTTACAGGTGGATAATAATGTAGCTCTGAATCTTACTAGCTTAAATTTCAAGTTCTACACGCTTAGACTCCACAAAACTATCAACTAAATTTTTTCCTATCAACTACCGAACTACTAGAAGCAAAATTGTGTGTATTAGTTATGTAAAATTAAACGAACAAAATATTTAATTTTTGTCAAGTGGCCAGATAAGCATTAAAACTGAAGTCTAATCTACGACAGTTTGCAAAAATTAAGAACGATTGTGTATAGAAGATTGAAATTTGAATTTTCAATTCTGTTACTTACGGCCGGTGGTGACAGGTTGGTGTGGGAGCTTCGTCTTTCCTGGGGTCCGATACTTGAGTGACGTCTTATTGGCAAGCCACCACCCGGAGTACCACCTGTAAAGATGCATTTTTTAAGAGAATATATGTTTCGGTAATGTGATAGTATAAATACTATATTTATCGACATGATGAATCGAAATTCTTGGAATTATTTAGTCTACTTTGCAACATTGTAAATATGTGAGTTGATTCTCAACGATGCTATAAGGTTATGTTAAAATTTTCGTACTATTTTGAGTATGGTAGGCATTGATAATCATTTTTAAAAAGTTTTCGGATTTATGGACAAAGTATCAGGATTTCGGTGCTTTAACTTATCTCGGAATATATAGTGACTCAATTCCGAATTTAAGTTTCGAAGATCAAAACATTTTTATTAGACATTTTAAGTATGTACATTTATAGTCTCAAATTGGAGGCGAACCAGCCTAAGGCTGAAAGCCTCCTAAATAAAGCTAAATTAATTAATTAATTATAGTCTCAAATGTGAATAACAATACACAATTTATATTTTTGATATAATTTTCTTGAAAATAATAAATAATTCGGCATTCATGACGAAAATAAACTGAAATCCATATTCGCACATTCGTATAGTAACCTTCGCTCATTTGTATTCAGTGGGAATTTTTATCCATTCTTCTTCAAAATCGTTTTTGTTTGAAATCTGGTGGCTTCTAACTTTTTTTTTATCAAGATATTCCTAATGATTCTTAATGGGGTTGATATCTGCAGATTGTGATGGAGTAACAATAATTTTTGAGTAATTGTAAAGCAACCATGAACGTACTTTATGTGCTTTGTGTTTTGGATCGTAATCTTGATAAAACTTAATCTCTTAATTTAATCCCAATAATCTTTACAGGCGCTTTGCTTCAAATATTCTTTAAGATTGTTTTAATAAGGGAAATGGCTTATATGTTGGCCTAAATGCCCCTAATTTGGGCCCATACATAAATTCAGCAACCGGCTAAATTTTCCAAAGCGACCAAAAATATCAATAAGTACCGTCCCAATGACGCGTTCATCTAGATAAAATTGATAAATAGCAGATTTTTAGCGATGGGCCCTATCTTAGATCCATAGGCCAACATTAGAGCCATTTCCCCTATACATTATGATTCATTATGCCTTCGATGAAAACCAAGTTGCCTACATCTTTAGTAGACGTACAACACCATACCATTATCTCACCTCCACCGTGTTTAACCGTCGCTTTCAGATTTTTTACATTCAGTTCATCGTTTGGCTTTCTCCAGACAAAATAGCGACCATCTGAGCCGAGAATGTTTTATTTGGTCTCATAAACAAATATGACTGTCCATTAGGTCAGTGGAGTGTTTTCATGCTGTTTAGTTTAGCGAAATCAAATCGACGCCTTTAATTTTTCTTGCTGATGAATGGTTTTTCTCTCGGTGCACGGGCGTTGAAGTTGTTCTTTCTCAACACAGTACGAACCGTTTCCGGACAGACCTTCACTACATTTCGCTGATTCAGTTGTTTCGTGATATCAACAGCTGTTGTTTTTGGATTTTCTCTTATTTTTCTAATTACAAATCGTTCATCTGCCGCTGTTAACATTTTCCGTACTGGACTGTTGATCTGGGTCTTTACACATGGTAGCAATTTCACTGAGTAATGTTCCCTCTTTATGGAGAGCGACGATAAGCTTTCGCTCAACAAATGACGTAGGGGAAATGGCTCTAATGTTGCCCTATGGATCTAAGATTGGGCCCATCGCTAAAAGTCTGCTATTTATCAATTTTATCTATATGAACGCGTCATTAGGTCGGTACTAATAATTATTTTTGGTCGCTATTGAAAATTTAGTCGATTGCTTGTATTTATGTATGGGCCTATATTAGGGACATTTAGACCGACATTACATACATTTTCCCAATACTCGCCATCGAAAAGATTTGGATCCACAGCCTGTGAATAACATTGTAAACGTTTTATAATTCAACAGTTGCGTATACTAGAAGCATATATTCACTTAATATATGCTGTTAAGTTATAAACAACTGTGAAGAAAACAAATGTACGAGTTCGGATTTGACCTGTTGTTCCGTGTTTAAAATATAACTCAACGCGTAGGAAATCAAAACATGAGTTTTCGAATGAAACAACTACTAGGCAATGATAAATGGTAATCACACTACTACACCCACATCATGCCTTTAAAATGAGACCTTAGATGTAGATGTGAGAATATAATGATCCCATTTAGGGTGTACGAATTCGGAATTGAGTTACTGTATTTATCCGTTTTCTAATGTTTTCATGCCATCGGAATGGATGCTTCCTCAAATTTATATTTATCTGTTGGTAACGCAACTTATTAAGCTTTCAGGGAAACATTTTAAAGGAGAACGCTTGACGTCATCGGCCGAAACACGTTTTGTAAGATGCTTTGAAATCCGAGGATCATTCAAAGGTTTTTGTTTGGGCCGGAGAAAAACAACACATGAACCTTCCGTGTCATCTGGGTAAGCCTTGTGGCGGGGGGTCGCAGGAAGTTTTGAGGTATGGGTGAAGTGGGTGGATCAAATGGACGAGGCGTTGTTGGTAAAGGGGGTGTAGGAAGAGAAGGAGACTCAGGTGGTGGTATTTTTTTTTGGGTAAGCCCCAGTGTTCTTGTTGGTGGTATTACTCAGTTCATCGAGAACATCCATTTCTTCAAATATTCCAAGTTTTCAAAATTTGGGAAACTCAATCGTCTTATCTGCAGAGATGTCAAGCGCCATACCCCCGTCTTTATTATCATCATCCAGTGCAGTGACTAAAGGTATCACCGCAACCGAGTGTGTTTGTAGATTTACTACTGATGATTTATGTATTTTCTACAAATTCCCAAAAAAAAAAAAAAAAGACGGGGACAAAAACATAAGTAAGTAAGGAAATATGACACTGTTTATATGGAAATTGCAATGGAAAATCCTACTGTTTATTGTCTTCTAGCCGTTTTACATGTTGCCTATTTCATGATCCATAATGAACCAAAAGAAATGAGCTGTATTTTTATCGCGTCTAGTTAAAAAAATATTATTTTAATCGGTTAAAAGTTTGCTAAAATCTATCAACAACGATAAAAGTTAATAATCCCAAAACTCTTTCAAAATCTACCAAAATTTATGGTTTAATCATAAAATAATTTTAGAATGCAAGAAGGGGACCACGGGTTTTCAAAATAGCTTCTCAAATACTATAATATGAGTAAAAAATTAAAAAAAATTATAGCAGTTAAGTCATAAAATTTTCATGTACACTGAAATTTGCTTGTACACTGAAAATAAAATCAATGTTACTTGATTCGTTGTGAATAGATTTCAGTAAGCTTTGCACGGATTTAAATAATAATATTTTAACTTAACATAAAAAAGTTTCAATTCATTCAGATAATTGTACTTCAAGACATAACAATTTGGAAAAAAAAAAAGTCAAATAAGAATCGTTTACTATAACTGCTCAAACTTCATACAAACTCAGCCGTTCAAGCTCAAAACTCTACCGAAACATTACGAATTACCAGCCGACACAGTTTCAGAAATATTGAAGAGATTTTTTTTTTTAACCTTTATTAAGGAGATTTTTAGCCTTTGGCTAGTTCATCTCCATCAAGAGATTTTTTTTTAAAACTATTTTGGTGACACAAATAAAATCGCTGTGCATACTTTATTATTGACAGTACCGTACGCTGGTGTGGTGGCATTGTTGGACAGCAACGACAGGGACATGGAAGAGGAGACACAAGTACTTGAGGAAGACATGGTATTTAGGAATAAACGTGTTAACCCTGGCCCCAACAGGTTTTCAACTAGCAATAATCGCACCTCGGTTGTACCTCATTGGCTACAATATCGCCACTGCGCAAAGTTAGGCCCCAACAGGTGAGCGAGGTGTTTTTATGGAAGTGGAGAAGGAAATTCCACGTAACGCCTCTTTTTCTTCAGTCGAATGGGGAACATATTTTATGATGGGATCAAAACAAGTGTTTGTTATGCAAGATGGAGCAGTAGCGGTTGAATTCCTGCGAAAGGTCAGGACCCAAGTAGCAATTTTGCTCTTATGAGGGTTCTGTAGACCATGATTTAGACTTGTCGAATGCTACAAAACCGCGATAAAACCTGCAATGTTACCTGGGGAAACAGCCAGTGAATCAACTAGTAGAAGATGATGGTAATCGAGTAAGAGAGTATGGTCGTGGTGATCCCGGACGTCGCACAGTGGGGCAGCGAAGCCATTCGCGTGGCCAAAACCTCTAGCGCCGTTGGTTTGCTTTTTACAGAGATACAATGTCCTACAAAGTTGTTCAATACTAAAAGTGCCATCTTTTGAATGTTTCATATTAGTTCATTTTTACGCCACATAGGTGGTGCTCGAGTCTATCTTTTGAACGGAGCATCCTAGCCAAATGGTTTTTAGAGCAAAGTTGCGTAATTTGAAGTGTTGAGAAATGTTGTCGAAGACATCAAAACTCTATTACTCATATTAAGCGAGATATCGGGCAATTAGGAAAACTAACCTCTAAAATTGCGTTTTTTCTTTTTTCACCTATATACGTCAAATGTAAAAGTTTTATACTCTGATAATTATCAAAATGGTTTGACTCATCCAATAAATACCCATTACTTTATATATCATGCCTTATTATAAAGTTATTAACATAAATGTCTAAAAAAAGTGATGTATAAAAATGTCAATTACTCAAAATATAGCAAAAAGTAGCAGCCAATTTTTTACAGTGATTAGTGTAGACCTTGCTGGAAAAAATAACGACCAGAATTCAACAGGCAACTGCAGGCATTTTCATATAACATCATTTGAATATTGCTTATGGTAAATTCCTTAAAATTTGTTGAACTTTTGCTTTGTGTGTAAAACATGATAAGATGTTATTGATGAATGCAATAGATGCACTAATAGATTACTAGGAGACTTAAAACTGCTGGTTTAAAATGTTCATCCTCCAACGTCCTCCATAGTGTCCTTTCGAATTGTTTTGCGACTGTATCGTTCCCGAAATTTTCTGGAGTCTTTATTTCTGGCTTCCT